ACACACACACACGCTCTCTCTCTCTCTCTCTCTCTCTCTCTCTCTCTCTTTCTTTCTACTGCCATGCACATCGGGGCACCTTTGTCTGTCTTCTTATTTGCACACGCAATTGGCTCACTCTGTGCTGTCAAGCTACTGTTGGGCACAGTTGTCTGTGAGGACGACATATCAAATGGTCGAAGTCCTCTGGTTCTTTCCATTGCTGCAGCAGTGGACACGAGCTGCGGGCACTCTGCAGTCAAAAAGCCGAGAGAGGAAACGGAGTCGGAGATACTGGTCGACTCGGAACAAATGACTACAGATCCGGATTTAGATATACAAAGCTCAACATAGAGTCACAACATAGAAGCCAGAGATGTTCCCATCAATAGGGTCAAAACAATAATGGTCAAAGAAGAGGAGGGAAATCACATTACGTGCTGACCACTGTAGCATCTGATAAGGCTTTGCTCTCTCTGACTTCATTGATAAGGCCGGACTGCTTCGTACGTAACGAGTAGATAGTGGACAACTTGTCTACTTGTTTAGGATATATGCATCTCTCTCGACATACCGTCACAGTTTGAATCATCCCAAGTGGTTAGAGATGGCCACCATTTTGGACTAGATTTCCTGTCCTTCAATTTCTGGCTCTTACGAACGATGGCGCCAATTGTGCTGCGCTCCCAATTACTCTTTTCCTTTTGTTTTCTTTAGAGCAAAGAAATGGCGTCATCTTCTTCATGCGCATCTGCAAGCAACAAGGATGACAGCATCAACTCCTTTGGAGTTCCTGCACCTGAATCATCCAACTCCTCAACAAGAACAGCATCGCTCCAAAGAAAGAAACCATGAGTCAGATGCAGGAACAAGGAGGGGGAACAGACACATCCTACGAAGAGAAGGGAAGCCTAATGCATTGAAGGTGCTCGTATATACCACCATGACTGCACACTGCTCCCCGTCCTTCCCGTAGTTCTTCATGGGTTAAGATATTATCACTACACGCAGTTCAAAAGACGCCTTCAGATCTGCCGCGCACACACGAAACCCTCGTCGCCGATTACTGAGAAGGCCGTGTTAATCTCTTCGCGACCGTCCGATCACCATCATCAACCTTGGCGGCGCCGCTGCTGCGACTTTGCTGTGCTGGTTCAGGCAGGGTTCAGCGTTCGAACGAGCAAAATCCGAACCGTGGCTGACGTCCTCGTAAAATCTACGACTAGATCCGCTGACGTCGAGGCAAAAGATGGGACAGGCAACAGCAGACGCACCCCGAAAAGAGAGGGCGATTACAGAGGCTTCGGAGGTGAAGCGAAGCGAGAGAAGCCTAATTAGGAAGAGGCAGATGCAGCATTTGATGGTGGCAGTTCCGAGAAGAAAGCAAAAGGGCGAAAGACAAAGGATGATCCGAAAATAATATTCCCGTCCCCAAGCAAATATCAAAAGCAAAAGGGAAAGTTTTGTGATTGTTTCGTGCTGTTCTCTGAAGGCGTTTCCTCAATTCACCGTCGGCGGCGGAGCCGGCGATTAGGCGGCGAAGGTGGAGGGGAACCCTCCGACGGAAGACAAGGACGAAGAGCGCCGGAGCCTCCTGCTCCCCTCAGATCGAGAGGAAATGGTGACCACCGGTTGAGAAATGCTGCTAGGAGGACCGCTGGGAGGTGTCGCGGTGGCGGCCGGGGGGAATCTGGTGGAGCTGCTCCTCAGCATTCTCCTCTCGCCTTCTCTGCCGCCCTTCCCCTCAGTCCCCCGCTGCCTCACGGCCGTCACTCGCACCGGCAGTACGCATTTGCACAGGAGCCCTGGCGACCACCGGAACGCCTTCAAGATCGAATCTTTGGCAAAGAAATGATGCGGAAAGAGGGTGTAAAGTACCGATCTTGGCGAGGCGGTTGACCCATTTGGGGATGTGCTTGCCGGTGAGGCGGAGGCAGGCGTCGTCGCAGAAGTGGTTGCAGTTCTTGGAGATGAGGTTGTAGGTGTCACCGGTGTACTCGGCGGACATCTCCTCCACGAGCGCTCGCACCTCCCGCGGCCCCAGATCGGTGAGCCCGATGTGGATCGACTTCCGGAACGCGAACCCCGGGCACTGTCGCGGCTCGCCCTCGAAGATCCCCGTCGTCGGGTGCTCGTGCGCCCCATACGCGTACTCCACCCCGTGCACTGCCACAACACAACCCAAAACCCCATACCCTACTCACGACCTCGCCCCGAATCATCGCATCCCCCGAACAGAATGGAAGAGCAGGTCCGGATCTCACCTTGCACGCCGGAGTGGTAGACGCCGAGGCCGAGCCAGTAGGCGTATCCATTGATGGGGGTGAGATCATAGACGTTAAGGTACACAGGGACCGGCCTCGACCGCCGCTCCCGGGATGGCGCCCTGGCGAACATCGTACGGCGGCGGAGGAATGTCACAGCTGCGACGGCGGCGGCGAGCGATCCATGGCCTCGGCCTCGATTCGGTCCCAAAAAGATGGCGCTTTGTTGTTCTTTTGACACTGACGAGGGAGTGTGAGCTGACGCCGGAGCGGAATTAAATCCACAGGGGTTTTGTCTATGTGAGCATAAGGAATAATAAATACGATGCTTTGGCGACGGTTAGTATTAGCCCGACGGTAGATTAGCGTCACTAGAGCGAGAGAGAGAGAGAGAGAGAGGTAAAGGTAAAAGAAACGTAGAGATGGAGGTGTGTAGTACACTGCTGCTTTTAGGAGGGGTAGGGAGGTGCGTGCTGATGCAGCTGCTTCCTTTTGGGCACCAACCAACACCGGAGAACGTCCAAAGGGTTGTGCGTGTGGCTTACCGAGGAAGGGTGTTTGAGGGGAGGTGGAGTAGAGTTGAAGCTGTGGACTCTGGAGATGGTTAGCTGAAGGTTATGGGGGAAGTGGATGATTGTGTGTAGGGAAGCTTTAGAGGGATTTGATGAGTATAGGCCGAAGCCATTCCTTGGATAGGGTCAGATTAGGCAAAGAACAGGTGCCTTCATCATCGCTTTTCCGGAAGACAAACTGGCTGCTGGGATGGGAGGGTAGGAAGTCTTCGGAATCATGGAGACTGATAGATTCGAGCGATGACCATACTTTGCATTCTTCAAATAGAATGTGACACTGATATGATTAAATAATTAAAATTGGTTTTCTGTGGACAAATTGGGAACTCAATCGATTACTTAAATAGTTAAATTATCAGAAAATTATTAATTGATTTATTCTTCATAGGTAGTGATGTGATGTGAATTTTAGGAAATAAACATTTCAAAATTTCTTTTTTTGTGTGAGAAAATAACATAAAAATTAATTTAAATATAAAAATTAAAAATTAAAAACATTTGAGTTCTTTACTTTTTCTAAAAAATTAAAAATTTTATTTGGCGTGCTGATCTTATGAAAATTTATCATTATGTTAAGTAGATTTAATTAATTTGTCGTGCTGATTTATTTATGAAACACTTGCTTTTGTAATTCAAATCAGTTGACTTAATTATTTGATAACATGTTGAATATTGCAATCAACATATTAATTAATTGGTTACATACATGTGTTTATTTCATTGAAATCTTAGAATTTCATGTCTAAATAAGACTGTTTATTACATGTGTTAATTAATGTAACATTATTTTAATTAGTTTTACTGTTTTAGGTAAAGACAAGAATAATAAATATAAGAAAACAATTTCATCTTTAATTTGTGGATTATATGAAGATGCATTTACTGGGTTCTCGATGTTGAAATATTTGTTTGTAGGGCTTCCCAATTTTTGTGTGGAGAAACTGGTGAACACTACTTACCTTCAAGTAATAATGTGGCTCTAATTAAGGATCATGAGCCACAACCTTGGCAAATGACAGAAAGAACGTTGAGGTTGGAAGATGAGATTTAAGGGCATCCACGCTGCTTGGCACTAAGCATAATAATTCAAGCCGACTTTCTTCTTGGCTTGAACTTGGATTATCCCTTCATTGAAATCTTCATGTGTCACCTGAAACAAAATATGATGTTAGTTCCCTATTGCTTTGTCACGTTAACCGTGATATTGTGAGCCATTAAACATCCAAACCTATAAGCCTTTTTCGGACAAACTGATGTCGGTGAATTGCGGCACGAGGAGGGCAACTTAATGTTGCCAACATTAACCGACTCACATCGACAGCATAGAGCGAAGGGCATACTCAAATTCAAAGGATGTGATACCCAAACATAAAAAGAGTCGTAAACAGCAGCAACTCAAATTCAATGGATGTTGATGAACATGAAACGAAAGGCTGAGGCCAGAACACATGATTGTACTACTTGAGAGAGCAGGCATGTGAACAAGATAATTGAATGTGAGTTGGCATGAATGTAAACTAGGAGAAAACACAGGGAAGGTAGTAAACATAACCTCGGTTGCATCTTGAAGCAGAGCGAGCATTCCAGCTTCTACACAAACTGCTTTAAGCTGTGCCCCATTATATCCATCAGTTAACCTGGCCAGCTCTTCAAAGTTCACATCGGGGTGCACATTCATCTTCCTCGAGTGAATCTAAATTGCAAAGTTAAAACAAGTTACAGATCAATTGTCAACATGAGAACATGCATTTCAATTATTTCTAGATTAGATGATAGAAAACCGTTTGCTTAAATTAACATGGATATCAATCCAAGCATTTGCTCACAACAAGGAGCAGTTCAGCACCTGCAATATCCGAGCTCTTGCATCTTCAGTGGGATGAGTGAACTCTATTTTGCGATCTAGACGTCCAGAACGCATAAGAGCAGGATCAAGAATATCAGCACGATTTGTTGCCGCTATGACCTGTCAATCAGCGAAAATCAGGTATAAAGAGAGAGAACAGAAAGAACAAATAAAAAAAAAAGGAATAATTGGATGCTACTTCTGCCACAGACTATATTACTGTATATGTTATCAAAATCCATTACTATCTTTATTAAATTAGCAATTTATAATTGACAGATTTTGTACTATATATATATATATATATATATATATATATATATATATGTACCATTATCATCTTAGTTCAAGCAATAGGTAAGTCACAAGAAACCAAATATTAAAATTATAAATGTTTTCATGTATGCAATTCCCTATTATGACACGTGAATACATTATGGAGCAGGCAAGTGTAATCTAGGCATGCATCACAAGGCTCGATTACAACCTGCTGGCAACCAAACCAGATGATGCATTTCAAAAACTTTAAAAGCATACCAAGAGAAAAATAAAAAAATAAAAAAAATCTAGTAACAAACAAGCTTATTGAGCTGTAGGGAAGATTAGATTTGACATAGTCATCATCAAGCCAAAACTTGCACGCAATTTGTACCAAAAAGGAAACATTATTACTTCGATTTAAGAACACCGACCTTTATACATTCATCACTGCTAAAACCATCAAGCTGATTAACTAATTCCAACATTGTCCGTTGCACTTCCCTGTCTCCACTTACTTCACTGCAATAGTAGAGCAAAAAAAGATTTCATTCTAGAATCCTGATGTATTAAGATATTATGGCATGACACCAATAATTGCATAAGTTCTTAATATCACTGGTTCAGATTGTTATTGTGAAAGTACAACACGTTAATAAAGTACAGATTCTTGGAACCTAAGCAGTGAAATAAAAAAGGTTCAAAGAAAGCCCCTGCATGCACACACAACTAAGAGTTTGACGTGAGCAATTATTTTTCTAAAAGAGAAAGACATGTAAGCAAAAATCAAAAACAACAATCCCATAACAAGTAGTCATCCCAATCACTGTCAATCATGATTACTAAATTATTAACTAATAGTTCCAAATGAATTGCTTAATTGCTTCCTTATGCTTAGTAGCTGTGGAAAATGTCAAGGGTCAACCTCGTGCTATATTATCCCCACCAATGGCAAAAAATAATAATAACATGCTTGCAACATGGTAGCATGAACAAATCTCTTATCAACCATTAGGAACAAAAACATGTATGGTCAATAGTGCAAAGAAAAAGAAAAATGCCAGACCTATCAAATCGTTTGGTCCCTATTGCATCTATCTCATCTATAAAAATTATACAGGGAGATTTGTCCTTTGCTAGCTGAAAGGCAGCACGAACAAGTTTTGCTCCTTCACCAATATACTTCTGCAAAAATTGGTTAAACAATCACTAATTAGCTACAAACAAGCTGATACTTCTTTATAGAAGAAGCATAGGGCACAAATGCCTATTCTTGGGCATAAATTTACATGCATGCAGTGAGCTAGTTTTTAATAAGAGGGGTCTGCCAGATTTCCCCAGTAGTAGCCCGGGGTGGTGCAGCCACCAACACTCTTATCTGAGTTTCTTCAACATATATTAGATCTAACTCTGTACCTTTAAAAATTTATCCTTGTTACACAAGAGTAGAATTCGTAAAAGAAACTACCATAAGACAACTGAGAGCCTGAGACATTTTATACCTCATTGTTGCCTGGACATATGATACAAGTGCTACACATCAAAGTGTCTAAATGAATCCAACACGAGCCTTCAGAGAAGTAAGATGCAAAGATTTGAGTGCATCACAACACGTGCTTGTAATCATGCGTGTGACAGTGTATGCAACGATTGTGAATGCATCACAATAAGCTCTATTGTGAGTTATAAGAAAGTCCAGATGTAGTGGTGATAGCACCATGAGTGAACTGTTTCAACTGTGGACTGTCCAAAAGTGCCCAGAAACATCCATAAAATTGAAACCAAAAAAAGTAAATGAGTGAGGGAAAAATATTATCAAGTTATAAAGTACCTGAACTAACTGAGGACCTGCCAGCTTCAAGAAAGTTGCTTTTGTTTGTGCAGCACATGCACGTGCCATCAAAGTCTTACCAGTTCCAGGAGGTCCATAAAGAAGCACTCCTTTAGGAGGACGAATACCTAACTTCTGGAAACGGTCTTTGTGCATCAACGGCAAAACAATTGCCTCAACAAGTTCTTGGATCTAAAAATTACAAATAGAATTAATAAGTCAATATTGACAACTTGGGGAGGTTCTTGATCGCTTAACCCAGAAAACAACCTCAAAGAGGGATCCAGAAAACTGAGGTCGAAAGATGACCCAGACTTGGAAATGAACTCATGACAGAATCAGCCTTTGGTGCCAAAAGTATTTCTATAGACATAGAAAAAAATTAATATACCTGTTTTTCAAGGCCTCCTATATCATTGTAATCTTCCGTCGGCTTCTCATCAACTTCCATTGCCTTCAACTGCGAGTCATATTCAGATGGAAGTGTGTCCAAGATTATGTAGTTGTCCTTGTTGACCCCCACAAGGTCACCGAGTTTTAGCTTATCAGGGTCCACTAACCGAACAACAGGAAGAAAGATTGTCTGAAATAAAAGAAGAGACAAGATTAAGCCTCTGACAACCGTTGGGATTTTAAAAGACTAAAAGCGAGCTGCAACAACATGAGCAATCGAGCAAGTTCAGAGTGAATGACAACTTAGCTTTCAACATGTCCAACCAAAACATAAGCAAAAACATCAACAGAGAAAACCATCAATGCTTGAGATCACAAAATAGAAGCGGATAAGATTAAGTTGTAAATACAAAGAGCAACGTAAATATGAGTTAGGGCTCCTAGCTTACTTCCCGTGTTGAGGTTTTTAAGACAACACATTTTTCCTTCCTTTGAGAATTGAGATCAATATCGGCCCCATCCTCCTCAGCCTCTTCTTCTGGGTTCATCTCCAAGATCTAGGCAACGAAATAAAACAAGCAATATGATCAGCATTATCTACCAGGTGAATATGCATTCAGTCCAAAAGAAAAATGAAAGTAAAAAAATATAAGCTAGAAAACAAAAAACTATGCCTACTTGGAATCACAGACCCTCTTGGTTGAAAAATATGGACATACAAAAAGAAAAGAGAAGAAACAACAAATTCTTTCTAATTACCCAATTTTTGTCCTTTCAATTAGATTAGAGTTACATATGTTGCTTGCGTATACATAGAAATGCAAGAAAAAAAAAAAGAACAAGGCCAGTTAGCCAAGATGTCAGGTGTCCTAATTGAACATTGAAAAGTTATTTTCCAATAAATTAATAGCAATTCTAAAGTATTTTCGACGGTTAGTCACAATCATCAGTTCAGTAATTCGCCAACTTTTTTCATCTTTGTTATTGGTGCCTTCTTATGAGCTGAGATAGGGTTTCCTAGAGAAGACACATTGGCTTCACGCGCACACTGTGCAATCTAGCTAAACATCAAGGTTTTAAGACGCTAATGCATATTGGTGGCGACCTCTACGATGTTTCCCACGAGATAAGGCAGCTGTTTGTTGATCTTAATCTTCTCCTGATTCCCCTTTATCTTGTCCTTCAAGGACTCCAACTCGAGATTCAACCTCTGCAACTCATCCTGCAGCCCGACGAGAAAGGATTTCAAGATCAAACAGGATCAAAACAAAAACCGAGGAAATTAAAAGGGAAAAGGGAAACCCTAAATTCGGGGACGGAGATCGAGCAAATGGTTGTTGGCGGGGTTAGGGCTTGAGTGAGACCTTCAGGACGCGGATCTCTTTGTCGAGGAGGCGAGAGGCCCGGATGATGTCCTCGGTGGTCATGGGGGAGAGCAGGTCATCGTCGAGTATGAGATCCTCCTCCATCACAGACTCCATGGATAGGGAGCATCAGATTACCAGAGCGATCGATCGATCGACCGACCGAATTCCACAGCGGAAGTGAACGGCTCCTCGCCAGACGCTCTTACTGTTATGTCTGTTTGGCAACGAACAACCTCGGAATTTATAGGATTTGGGGAAAGCGGATGACGTGTAGGAAAAAAGGATTTATTTGGGCTGAGCCGGACGATAGATGGCTAACCGGCCCAGCCTCGGACCAGGCGCATTAGACCGGACCAATCGGACTGCCACATTACCAATAAAATCAAGAACCGTTATGGTTTAACGACATGACCCGGTCCAATTCATTATGGGCCGGATTGAGAACCCGTTTCTTTATATAGGTCGAGGATCGGATCCGACCTTTTGATCCGAAAGGGATCCAATCCGGAATCGAGGCGAACAGCGATAACCCGGACGGTTCCCTTCTTCGCGTTGATCGCAACAAGAGCCGTCGGCCGGCATGTGTGAGAACCCTAATCCGCCTCTTCGAAGGCGTCGTCTTCCCATGAAACTCCTCTCCATCTTTCTACTCCAATCCAAAGACAGCTCATTCAACCCATGCTCGATCTCCGCCGCAGAGGGACCTCCCTTCCTCCTACTATGTGGTTCTCGGTCGTGGGGCTGAATAGGTGTTCTACATCAAATTCGATTACCATGGTATGATTATGTTTAGCACAATTCTGATAAGCTGGTATCTGTGAACACTTGATGTTGTTGATGATTCTGTTTAGGAGTTCCTTCGCCTTCATTGGCAGTATACTTGAAATAAGTTCACACAATATATCTTCCTTTGTAAGCTTAATTGAAGGTGAAATTTTGCTCTCCAATGGAAATCTCATTGAGACATTTTACCAAACAACACAAAGAATGTGCCTTCCTCTTCTCTATTTTATATGTGCTTCATAAGCATGCATCTCATTTACAGGAGTCGCCATGAAAGCAACTTAAAGTGGGGTTTCCTGCATCCTTTTCAGCTTCTCTCTCTCTCTCTCTCTCTCTCTATCTATCTCTTCCAGTATTGATCATAAGCATGTGTCAAAGTAACACTCTATTGGACTTTAGAAAGCAGGAATAGGCTCAGTGTCATGGAAACACAAGGAAACCTTGGTAAAGCAGATATGTCCACCTCAATCCAACATGTTGTGCATAGTTTCAAGTGAGAGACTGTGGAGGGTCTGACTCATCTCTGTTGGCTGAGATGCCAACATGGAGCCTGAATGGCCTGTTAGGATATGCTGGCCTTCTGCTCCCATCTTGCACAAACTTCCACAAGCATAAATGTTCATGCTCATGTTCTTTGACCAAACCCCAGACCCATCTGCAACAAGGAGGGAGAAATTTGCAGAGAGCAGTTGATGACAACTTGGAGAACAAATATTGGATCACAGCACCAGCAGCAACTTTGCTGAAAATTTCTGCCGATCACTTTCTTTGAAGAGCACGGATATCTAACATTAGCATCCACAAGGGTTTTCACACAAGTAAAAATGCAGGCTTTCCATTGCCAAAGAATAAGGAACATGTGAAAGTGATGTGAAGATGACTTAGGGAGTGGAGATAAGTGAAGAGATGAAACTGGGCATTGCATTTTAATTAGTCATAATTTTGTATTTAGTTGAGCATTTAGTCACTGTTGGCTTTGTTATTTATGACAACATAAAACTAGTTATTGTTGATATAGTATAGATTTCATGTTAACAAGTCAACAATGTAAAATTTTAGCTTCTTATTATGTACATGAGTTCAGGGAAGAACAAGATGAATGGCATCAACTTTTGTGTCACTAGAAATCTCTCCTTTTCTTCAATCAGTGGTTTGCTAAACTGCATGCTGTTGATGTGTGTTGTGGAAAACTGATGGAACTTGGCAATCACCAGTAGAAAAGAGAAACCATGAGGGCTTACTACCTTTCTCCATTTGACCATAGAAAACCATGGGCTTGGTTACCTGTAGAAGAAGGAAACCATGCATCACAATTAGAAAGTCATGCACACCTAATCATAAATCATACTTCAAACTGAAGAATCACATGTACTGTATTGATTGAGACATGGGACTTGTATTGGTTCATTTGGAACACATCAAATATGTATCAACTAATTTTCTCTGTTTAGATTATTCACTTGCTTTTCACAAGCCATCTGACTTTTTGGCATCATGAACATTTTTAAGCTGATAAAAATAGTTCATCAATTTTGTATAGCAATAGACAGCATGTCTTAGTATTTAAATAAAAATACTTAATATTCCAAATATACTGAATGGACTCTTTTTCCTGTCATATGCATGACCATGTTTATAGAAATTCAAAAAACAATTAAAAAGATACTTAACCTATTCATTGTACTATGTCATATTAGATATTTTTGAGATGCCATATGTAATAGGTAATAAGATTTTTTTTTTTCTATATTGATTTATCAATGATAGTTTGTTTCAAGATATATTTCTTATATGTTTGTTTATCCAAGAAATGGTTTTTTTCTTGTTGGTGACAAAATCCAAAGACTCTTTCAAAAGCCACTACCATAAGATTTTCCATTCCCATTTTAATTTATTATTATTATTATTATTCTTATTTTCCAATCACTTGGTCCCCATCCATGAATGAGACACATACCAAACTCAATAGTTTAGTCCAATCCGACTAATTCATATAGCTAAATTGGATTATTTCATCAGAAATCATGCATGAGTTGTATTAGAAATCATGTTGTCATATATATTTACATATATAATGATAGTAAGGAGAGCCGAGTCGGATATGACTACCACCGAATGGCGTCATCAAAGGTTTGCCCACAGCTCCCTTTGACCCCAATACAATCCCTCAATTATCTTATTCGCTTTCTCTTTCTCCGATTCATTCCCTGTTAATTAATGAGATAATTCTTAGTATTTATATTTTCAGTGAATTTCTAAAAAAGCTATTATTATTATTTTTTTCCTCGTGAAGTGTCCCCTATTTTCAAGTTCTTTTTCTTTGCCCAATGCTTGAATTATTTTTTTTTCATACTTTTTCTTTATCGATGGAATAAATCGATCTAATTATAATATTTTTAAACTGTATAATGTAATATAACATAGCGTTGGTTGACAAATTTATTAAAATATTATGTTTATATTATAATATTTTTTATTTTTATAATATTATGAAAACACCATAATGTAATATAAAAATATTGTAATTGTGTTTTATTTACTATTAAAAATTATTATAATATAGTATAAAAATATTATAACTGGATTGGTTCATGGATCGACAAGAAAAAAGAAGAAAAAGGGGGGGGGGGGGACAGAAAAGAGACAGGTGATTTAGGATATTTTAGATATTAAAAGAAAAAGACGTTGTTTGAAAATTCTAAAGATAAGGGATGTTTATCGGGAAAAAAAAATCCAATATATTTTCTGTGTTGTACAAAGCTTCAGTTTCTTTGGCCAATTTTTTTTAAATCGAAAAAAATAATTATTATTTTAAATAGATATAATATTATTATTTATCAAAGATATGATTTTATAACTTTATATATATATATATATATATATATATATATATATATATTAATATTACTAAACCAAGAAGATGGAGATGTAAAATGCAAAGGATGATTTAGGGGACATGAACAACAGTATCACCATAAGAAGAACGCAATAAGAAGTAAGCAAAGAGGGAATTAGAGGAGGAGGTCGGGAGATAAAGAACAGAAGACGGAAGAAGAGAAGAGAGAATATAGTGGTTTCTACTGGAACTAGTGTTGTTTTTGGGTGAAAGGTGTGATCTTTGGGTGAAAGGTGGGATCTTTTGGGGCATTCGGGAGGAGGCGGAGAGATGGGGAACGTGACGTCGTCGGTGGCGGCACGGTTCGCGTTCTTCCCGCCGGAGCCTGCGACGTACGAGGTGTTCCGGGAGAGGGGAGGGGAGGGGCGGCTCTGCCTGTCGGGGCTGCCGCCGGAGAATAACGTGGAGGTGCACCTGGTGGAGACCAGGGCCGGGAACCGGGTGGTGGCCACCTTCTGGCGTCACCCCAACGCCCGCTTCACCCTCCTCTACTCCCATGGCAACGCCGCCGACCTCGGCCAGATGTTCGACCTCTTCCTCCGGCTCCGTGCCCACCTCCGTGTCAACATCATGAGGTACAGCAGACAGCATCCAGCTCCTCCGATTCCCGTTTCCTCTATCTTCCCCTGTTAACTCTGTCTCCCGTTTTCTTCCCTCCTTTTTGGATCAAAAAAATGGTTTCTTTTGGACCAGCTAAGTGTTTGTATTTAGTTCTTGTAGGTGAATGCTATATATGGGGTAAAAATCTTGTGTGGTTTTGATTATAGATTGGGAACTTTGAGATTTTAAGAGAAGAACAAAGGCAATTATGATGTTGCAGCACTAGGTTTCAAAGAGGGAATTCATGGTTCTGCTTTGCTATTCTTTGCTTTGTTTTGTGGGTTGCTTCACAAGATGACTTCTTGCATCCATAGATTCTATGTGTGCTTTTCTATGTGTATTAATGTGGCATCCTCACATGTTATATCAAGCTTTATATAACACAGAAAAACAAGCTTTATCCAAAACGAGTCAATGTATGCAACCTTATCTCGACAAGCAGAGAGGCTATTTCGCACCATATAATGCAACCTTATAGTGGTGCAAAGCTCATCCTTTTGACAAACTGATTCACCTTTTGATGTGTAACCCATCTACTTAATTTTAGTTGGATATGTATTAGATGCATGTATTTGAAGGAAATTGCTTTTTTTTTGCTTTCCTTGTTATTTATTTCAGTAGCCTAAGAGAACTATGAATATTTTCTTTTTAATGAAAAAAATGCAATCAGAACTAATTGTTTCTCATTTCTACAGTTATGACTACTCAGGTTACGGAGGATCTACGGGGAAGGTAAACATTCGTAAATGAACAAGCAATTGAATCTTGGTTTCTTCTATTGGCATTATGACAATAAGAATTATGTGTTCTGTGTGAGATTAAGCTAACCGATCGAATTAAACTAATGATAGGTAGGGCATACAGTAACAATTACCACACGATATGCTTTTTAATGGAAGATTTCTCTTCTGAGGCAGTGCCCACCTGGCACGGAGGAAGCAAGAGAGTCTCTGGTCATTTAGTTAATTAGCTATAGCAATTCAAGAAATGAAAATGCTATTCAAAATTTTTAGGGGTGAATCATTCTTTTTTATAAAGCTGATGTGTGTAGCCTGTAAATCTCAGTGGTGAATCGCTCCTGCCAGATAGCAGTGCCATTCGGCAAAGTTTGCTCTTCCTACATAATGCTTAGAAACAATTGTATTGTCTGAATACGCAGCAATGTGTTATCGCATTGCCACCAAAGTTTGCCCTTCCTACATAATGCTTAGAAACAATTGTACTGTTTGAATAAACAATTTGTGTTATCGCATTGCCACCGAATCATAGCTGAATTAACGAAGGTTTCATGTGTTCTTGGAATTCACATGAATTCAGTAATTTGGGAAAAAGGATCCCTAAATACTATGATAAATCTGCTATAGCCAATGACAGTGAAGGGGATATGTTGGTTGTCTAACTTTATTATATGAACTGTTCTGGAATCACAATCTAACTCCACTACATGCTTCTTAAGATCTTTGCAATAAAGATGTTGACAGAAACAGCTATAGATACTTTTATGGGTAATAAAATATACTGTCAACAAAGAAAATTTTATTACCAGAAAACAGTCATTCTATTATGATTTTCATGTCTGATGGTATATTGTTTTCCTTGTTACCTTTCATATATTCCAAAAGCCATCTGAGTTCAATACATACTACGACATAGAAGCTGTGCATGATTGCTTGAAGAAAGAGTATGGGATAAGGCAAGAGGATCTCATTCTGTATGGCCAATCTGTCGGTAGTGGACCAACATTACACTTGGCTACGCAATTACAAGGTCTGAGAGGTGTTGTCCTCCATGGTGCAATTCTTTCGGGCATACGCGTCTTATATCCTGTAAAAGTGACATTCTGGTTTGATATATTTAAAGTAAGTACCCTTTTTTTTTTCTTTGTTTCATTTATTTGTATTCATGTTCTTACTAGTTCTTTTCCTGCATTCTTCGAATTTTTTGATTAATTATGTGAAATTTGGGTTTGTTGTTGGCAGAACATCAACAAAATCCAACAAGTTGACTGCCCGGTTCTTGTTATACATGTAAGCCTTCTTCATCAGCCACTTCTAATTTGCCAATTTCTTGTATCATATGAGCAGTGATGTACTGCAATGTTCATTTTGCATGTTGCGGAATTTAAATTAGAGAGCAGAAGAATCAGCTTGCTTACTGTGTGACTTACAGATTATGGAAGCAATTAAGTATGTCTAACTCTTGAGTGCTTTGCCATCTTAATCCAACCTATGGGTCCTCATCATCTTCCGAGCATTTTGTCATCCATATGCAGTCCAGCTTTACGGCACAAGACAATATAATTAGGTTCAACAGAAGATTTATGGGACGCTATCGGCCTGAGATCAACCAGTAAACACGGTTTGCATGAATAACCATTCGGGATTAGGGAAGAGAGAGACCAAAATACTTATTGCTTATCTATTGGTTGTCTTCTCAGGGGCATGCCATGTAACATGCTGCTAGATTTCTTCCATGCTAATATGCATTATGTTGCTTAGGTTTATGCAGCCCTTTGAAACTTTTCGTCGTTAGAATTAGTCTGGAGTATTATTATTTAACTAAAAAAAAGTACATAAAGATTGGCTAAAACAAAACTTGATTCCATATTTGATTCAAACACACATTGTTCTGATACAAACATTCTGTGCTCTGCTTTCATTATTCCAAGCATTTCAATTGCTCGATGTGTTCTTCGAAAGAGAATTTTTTGTTCGCAGGGAACTGCCGATGGTATCGTGGAGTGGACTCACGGAAAGCGTTTGTGGGAGCTATCGAAAGAAAAGTATGATCCATTGTGGATCAAAGGTGGTGGTCACTGCAACTTAGAAGCATATCCCGAATACATCAGGCACCTGAGAAAGTTCATTAGTGCCATGGAGAAACTCCCTCTTGTGAGACAGGAAAAACAGAGCAGTGTGCCAACATCAACCATCACAGAATCAAAACACAACAAGTGTTTGAGATTTGGCAAGAGGTAGCTGTTCAAACAAGTGTCTGTTGGCTTCTTCTATAGGGGACAAACACCACAGGGAGAAGGTATATTGTTTTCCCAGTAAAATCTAACATTTGTTTAGGAGAGCTTGTAGCAACCCATGCAATAAATATTTGTATGATTTCCCAGATTGATGGTTTATGTAAACGCTTCCAGTTATATAATCTCAATGTTGATATCATCTCTACAAAGTAATCGAGGACAAGTAAATTTTTATTTATGAACAACAACTGGCAAAAAGCTAACAAAATGCAGAGATGTGAATGTTTACAGATGTCACCATGACTCAAATGACTCGTCTTTGAGATCGAGAACATTTCTTGACTATGAACAAGAAATCCAATGTCTTGGGACCAATTCATATAGCCCCTCTTCCACGGTGGCGAATCATGGTTTTAAGAGCTATCCTACCCGAGGAGTCAATGAAGTAGGATTCCTACAAAGAAATTATTCAACAATTCAACAGACCGTATCAGCATTGAATCCATCAGAGATTACTGTACTCACCATCTCCAATGGACTAACTCTGTGTAATAAGAAACCATTGTGCAGTTCACTGAGGAACAGAAGAAGACAATGGAAGAGTCAAACAGCTGCTGCTAAAATATGGACTGATGGCAGATCATAAACCAAGAATACCAACTTACCTGAGAACATCTGGATTCACATTTATTGATAAAGCTCTGTTTAATTTGTCTGCAGGACCTGGGTTCCCCATGTACGCGATGCCTTCGTCGTGGTAAAAGTAACCGGCACAGCCTTGCTTGCTCAGGTAGGCATCCTTTGGTTTTTTTTGGGTGTTTTTTGTAGGCGGTACAAGAATATGTAGGATCAGCTATAATGATAATTAGAGTTCAAAAAACCAATTGAATTAAGTTACAGGTTCAGCTCACCACTCCAAATTCCAGAAAGACATTGTGTAGAGGCTTGTTAAACTTTATGGTTCCTGTTGCTTCCTTCTCGTCACAAATTGTCATCGGATCAAACCCGACGACAATGAGCCTGGCTTTAAAAAAGAAAACAATGTTATCCATATGAAGAACAAATTTTACAGCATATAGTTATGAAAGTGCAGATTGCCAAATTCATTAATTACAGAATAATAACTATTTAAAACTATTTTATGGTATTTTATGAATTTCATCATAGAGACAGGAACAGATAATTGGATATGAACATCTTGAAGATAGCAACACTTGTCATGGCACGCTACTAAAATACAAATTTCAAACTATAGGATCCGTTTGATCTGTGCTAGACTACATTTCTTCTCTAAGTTTGTTTTGTTTATTGACTGAGTCATCATCAAACAGAAATAGTTCATCATGCACCGGAGGAAGTTTTTTTGGATCTAATTAAAGTACATATGGACCCTGTCAAAGAAATTTACAAAATCATGACTGCTTTTAGTATGACATGGCAAAGTAAGGGTCTCATTTACACCTACAATGAGATATATATATACTCTTTATCCCGTATAATGCCACAAAAATAAAACTGTGTTAAAAGTTAAATATGATAGTATTAGTTTTTTTTTAAATGATGACAATAACAACAAACAAAAGAAAAAATCAGGTAGCCATAAAAATATCAAAATAAAATGAGAATTTTAGCAGTTCTTCTTGAACAAAAGTCTTGCATGTAAGTCTGTACGGTTTTATTATGTAGATATGGAGATGTTTTAGTAGCTTTAAACCAACAAACATGTGTTTCAGTAAGGTAGATACAAATTCCAGGAAGTTGGAAATTTAATGCATGAGCTGCTGTATTCTAGATTAGTCGTTAAGTCACCACTATCATTCTGATATCTACCATGTACTTTACCCCTTTTGCTAATGCGAAAAGAAACAAAAAAGTTGCACTAAAGTGAAGGAGACACCATAGGCTTCTTCCACCACCAGTTATGCTCTGAATGCCAATTTAGAGACAGCTGCACCCACCTGGAGCTTTAGGAAAATTAATCTTGTGATCCAGAAATGCCCTTGAAGCCAGAATTTGCTGGATGCATATACCTTTGAAGCTAATGTTTTATTGGTGACATGTTCATTATTTACTAACATTTGCACCAATCTAGATGAAGTACCAATTCATAAGCATCATGACTTACTAACTGCCACTATTCATGTGCTCGATGATTCAAGTAGTATTGTGTCCATTCTCATATCATCGACTACCTAGATGGTGTTTCTCTTTTATACTTCTACATGCATCTGAACTAAGTTCTTTACCTTGACATGGAAAAACTATGTAAAACAGACGTCAACGTAATGTCTAATGAGCACATTGCATATGATATAATACATCTACATGCATCCAAACTAAGTTCATTACCTTGACATCGAAAAACTATGTAAAACAGATGTCAACATAATGTCTAATGAACACATTGCATGTAATACAATACTCAAGAATGTTTCTGTAGTTTATTTACTCTATTAGGTCATATCTATAGACCACTTTCTGAAAACTAGTCAGTGGATATAACAGAACAAAAAATTGGTACAACTGAATAATAAGAACAAAAACCATGTACCTTGGTTGAACTTAAAATGATCTTAGGAGAAAAAGAAATAGATTGAAGCAGAAACAAGATATAAAACAAGAAACAGATTAGTCTGATGATTTACATGTGATCTCACTACAAAATAGAAGACAGCAAAGTGGAAATAACACAAACAAAAAAACTGATAATATGTAATATACCAGGTACTGTTGGATGTTGCTAACATCCTCCGCATCCAATGCAAGTTGTTACTTCCATTTTTGTTGAGTTGCTCTTCATAAGAAAGGTCCTTGTAATAATATCAAGTCAAATCAACTGTGAGAACACTTTTACCACATAGCGTGTATAAAAGGAAACAAAGAAGCTAGAGTATAATATAGCAGTACATGTGTAAACGATAATCAACTGCATCTATATTCCATTTTGCCAAATGGCCAAATTCATGACAATTCCCATCCATATCCTGCACTTCTATCAGTTATTCATACACTAATTTCAGAATATTACCGAAAAATATGGGACCGAAAACTGTAAAACCTTTTCTTCTCTATTAACTCTTCCTGAACATGGAGTGCATGTTTTTTTGCAGCAACTTAATCTACTAAGAAAGCTAACAACTAATGTGCCAACAAAGCAGCCGATGCAGACCTAATCACCCAATGGTGATATATATTCCTGTGTTGCTTAGATGAAAACATGAAAAGTCTGCAAACACAAATTCTCAACCTTCCAAAATTAACAAGTCACCTATTGAAGATGAGTAAGAACAGCTTGAAACTGCACTAAGTCCTTGGAATGTGAAATGATCAGAAGTGGCATATGGGTAATCTGTAGTAGCTATACCTGCAAAGACCCTGTACCAATGATGTCTAGTGTTTGCTCATATGGTAACCTGATTCTCTTCAAGAAGCTTCCCATCATTTGTCCACCAGAAGCAGCTGTGGTATACCTATACGTAGAAACATACACAAGCATGACAAATTAGTACTGAGAAGTGGACGATAATGATCAAAATGACAATTTCAAGGAGAAAATGAGGACCAGGGAATCTCCCGTGGAAAATGCGAAGTGGCCTGCAAATACGAAAACCAAGCCATATGACAAAAGGGCAACAACAATGAAAAGCCATACTTTTTACTAGATTCGCTGTATCATACCGTACCGACGTTTCGACCCGAGCTCGATACACCCTGGTGTATCAAATATTTTTTTATTTTTTTCATACTGTAACAGTGCTACAGTATAGTACTGTAGTACTGTAGCAGGATTACAGTATAATACTGTAATACTGTAGCAGTGCTCTATACTGTAGTACTGTAATGATACGATAACCTGTCGGACTGGTACGCTTCGGTATGACAGACCTTGCTTTTTAGAAGATTACCAAATGAAATTTCCATCTTTAGGTTATTGGCATTACATTCTGCAAGAGTGGATCACGCTCCCCAAGTTCCGCAATGTTCACCACAAAGTTTGCTCCGTAGGTTTTTGCTACCTTTTCCATCTTCACCATTGATAAAAATGCACAAATGATTAATCAAATGCACCGAAATAAGAACTGAAAAAGAATGATTGATCTCAACAAATTATGTGGCAGTTGAAACGAACAAATAGCAAAAAATATTCACCTATAAATTTTTCCTTAGCATCCACGTGTGACATCGAAAGAAAAAAGATGTCAGAGGAAAATTCAGTGTGGCAGCGTTAAACTGCCCATCTTTCTCTGTGTTCATCTCATGTTCTTGAAAATTCATGATCTCTAGATGCAAGAACCATAATCCGTTCGCATAAAAATCAGTGAGAATCGGTATGCTAAGCGGCAGACAAAGATCAACTAAATCAAAGAAACCAACGACCCAAAAAAAGGAAATCCAAACTTTTTTTTCTCGTCTTGCAAACCAGAGAGTCCACCTGTTCGAGGAGCTGCGATTGTTCTCGCGGCGTCCTCACGCCGCCCCTCACGCTCATGAAGTAGAGATCCGCCGGCTTCCCACCGAGCCGGGCGCCGCCGGGGGAGGAAGCGGGGGACGGCTGGGGGGTCCCAATGTGGAAGGCGGCGTAGAGGGCGAGGCAGAGGGCGACCTGGATCACGAGGGTGCGCCGGTACGAGGGCTTCTCCGCGGTGAGGTAACCGCCCTCCATAAGACCAGTGAGACGAAGGGACGGACCTCTCCCTCGCTCGTCGTGACCGCCACCGCCGTGATCGAGGCTTACAGGGAGGCAGGCAATTAGCAGTAGCAGATGCAAAGCGACGTCTGAATTGGCTCTTTATATCGCCTCTCGCAACAGTTGTCAGAAGGGATAACCAGAAACATGAAAGATAACTACTACTGTTACATATACCCTACCATTTAGTAAAATTACATTCATATCCTCTGTTTCTCTTCTCATCCACCAACCAAGTTGGATGAAGATGAAGTGATTTTAATATGGGATGAATTCGAGAATATTTTTTGACATGAGATATATTGTTAGGACTAGTCCCAAAAAATTTACCAAAGGATAATTTTGATAACCTAATAAAGATAATAAAATGAAAAAAATAAAAACGACAAGAATACCAGATTTACATGATTCGATCAATTGATCTATATTTATCCACGGATGAAGATGTTCCTAGGTCATAAAACATCCGAATCTATTAAACAAGAAAAGCTCAAACTATTTAACTGAGTGTGGACTTAAACTCAAAATAAATACCTAGGTTTTTCTTGTAGTGCATCTGACTTCAAAGCTCAGACCCTTATTTATAGTTCCAATTAGGAGATAACAAACTTGATTTTTCCGATGTGAAACTATGGGACTTGTCAAACTAACATATATATAACTAAGAATATTCTCAAAATGGAGTAAGCTTCAACCAAATCCAAAGCCCAATTTAATCTAATAATTCTTGAATTTGCTGAGTTTGTCTCATTCTGCATTTTTAACCAGATGAATTTTCATGCTATGAAGGGACATTTTTAACAGAGCACATCTCAAAGTGTAAAAGAGAAAATTAAAGATTTATGTGAGGCAATTTGCAAGTTTCCAATGTGAATTTCTAGCAAAATTTAGAATATATAACCATTTAATTTGTCACCTTGTCATCATTGGGATCAACATGCATCCACAGGTACTGTGTTCGTCTGAGACAAAAGTCATTGATGACAGAGGAAGCCCACAAACGCACATGAATGAATGCTATGACAGAACAGCCTGCCGTGGATTATTAGAATTAGCATCTACCTATCCAAAGAGCCGACAAAAGCCACTGTAAATTCTATGAGGCAGCATCCCTAGAACAAGCTATGATTACAAACACACAAATCTATATATATATATACTCTTCAACATGCTTTTTCTATATTATTTAGCCATGAAAAGATGGTGAACTGGCTAATTGATCTTACAGAAATCTCTCGAATTACCTGATTACTTTGCAGGCAAAGTGACTTCGGAAGTGGAGCAGGCAAAAAGAGGACAGCTCCTTCCCTGTAAAACAAATAAATAAATATTAATTCATCATAAGATATATCTGAAAAATACTATTGAGATGATTTTTCTAAAAATACATATATATATATATATATTAGATATTTTTGAATGGGTACCTTTCTTTTTTTTTTTTTCAAACAATACCTTTAATTTAAAAAACACTCAAATACCAATTATAATATTTTAATCACTATAATAAAAATACTGTATAAATTATTGAAAATATTATAAATGATCTAAATAGATTTTTAATCTCAACTAAACTAATTACAAGCTTAAAAATATGATATTATACTGATATGAACAATGACAATCAACACCATAATAATTTAAAAAAAATTAAAAATTTTGATAAAAAAACTTTTGAGAGATATTTTAGATATTTTAAATAAAAAAATAAAATATCTTTTAAAAAACATGAATATTTTTTAAGAAAATCGTCCAGAGATTTAGATGTCTCATTTAACAATATAAAACATTTACCAGCATAACAAAAGTAGCTCACACAGCTACCATGTTACCATGTCCGGATGTCTGTGCCACATTGTTTAGCCATCTTAAATGTGGCTTTGTTCCTTTTATTCTGTGTCACGGGCCCATGGCATGGCAGGTAACTATGTTTGGATACTTATGTTCATATCATGATTACAGATAATGTCTGTCCCTTCTCTTTCACAGACAACAACTCTCCTACTTGATTTCATATATTCTCCACATGAAGTGTATAATTGCCTTCAGAAATGGGTGAGCTACATGCAACTTAAAATGGCAGGACCAAGTAAAGAGATGTCATGCCAAGGCTTCCAACAATTCCCCCAAACATCACCAATCAATGTCTTACTTCCCAACACGGATCAAACTCTTTATCAGTCATTTTCTGTGTATTCAGATTGGACTCCTTAGCAATTAATGCAAGAGTATCAAGTTTCTCTTGTGGTCATCAGTAGTCATATAGTCTGACAATTATCTAGTATTATGCCAGAAAAACAAATCATGTACCTGGAGATCAAAAGATGGAGGACTTCTCTACTCCACCCCTGAAACCGATGATTACAAATATTTATGCACCTTCCTGGATGTCATAAAAAAACAAGTATATTAACAGGATAATGATCGAGGTTAGACTTACGGTCAACAAAAATCTAGAAAAGAAATGATTAATTTCCATACCATCAAGTCCAGAAGCGAAATATTGGAGAGAGACAAAACCTTCCTTCTCAGCCACCTACTTTCATGACTTCTGGAAGATGACCATGGCAGCATGGTGGGATACTGATGGATGATACAGACTAGTCCTGCAAGTATTTCATTCACTAGGAGGGAATTTAAAACCTGGAAGTCACAAATGCGTAATCTTCATGTTCTCCATCCTCACTGTATGGCTTTGACAAGAAGCACCTTGTAGCTTGACCACAACCACAAGTCCTTTTCCCGGTAGAACTAGCACTGCGGTAGGCATCAGTCTAGTTTCTCATTTGCCTGTCTACCTAGCATGTGGTCCTGAAATGTTTTTTCTTGCTAGACCTTCCATGGCAATATCACATCTCAGAGATACCATTTCTGCATGATGGAAGGCAGGTCCTAGTTGTTCCTAGAGAATAAAACAATACAATTAAATCAAATGCATAATAAAAGGCATATGAGACTACCGTCCATCTAAGAAATATTAATGCATGTAATTTTTATCTATATAGAGAACATATATCCATGAAATCCCAATCGCAAAAAAACAACCTTACTGTCATACTAAGATCGATCCTCAAATCAAATCAAGATATAGTTACTCCTTCATTTGATCATGTCACAAAATAATGCATGGATTTAGGCCCAGAAGAAGCTCAAAATTGAAAACGGGCACAGGCTCCTCACCATACAGGGACCAGAGTCGATCAAAATCAGAAAAAAAAAGCAGAACAGAATCACGATGGAAGAACTAAAAATCCATGAACTTAAAACAAAAAATAATGATATGGACAATTATAATTTCCACCTGACAACTAAACGACTCAAGATTTGAATTAAAGATTATTCTCTTTCAGCAGGTAACACAGGTATCCAGTCATCATCCTTTTCTCCTTGATCTGTATCTATTTCTCTCTTCTTCAATCTTTCTAGAGATTATCTTGCTCTATTGTCAGCTACTTTTTCCTCATAACTGCAAGTGTTTTGCTGCTGCACTCTCATTGCACTAACCCAGACTAGTTTTGAAACAGCTCAAATTGTCCTAATCTACTTCCATCCCTTCATTGTGTACAATTGTAAAGTGATAATAGATAAATTGTTATGCTATCATAATGAATAAAGGTAAGGCAAAAGGATAGGCAAAAGTGCATGGGTTTGTGCAACATTTACTGTGATTTTGCTTAGGGAAAATTGTACGTGCAATTCATGAATATGATTCACGAAATTTAATACGTAGGAGGCCAACACGCACCTGAAGACCTATTACCATCGGCAAAAGCCATTGAAATACTAGAAAGAACAAGAGACTCCCTTCAATATGCAACAGATATTTCTAGAGAAATCATTACAATAGGACTAACTAGAGAGTTGTGTTTCATCCAAATCCAGTATCCTTAGGATGTCTATGACTAGTTTTCTCTGGTACAAATTTCAATCTGCAACTTAAATTATATGGTACACAAACATCCAATTTGGTAAACTAGGTGAGTAGCATGACTTCTTCCACGTATAGATAATTGAGGATTTATTTTGAAGCTTCGTTGCAACTATAGGAACTCTCGAGTACATTTCTATAATGAAAAGGGCACCCATGAAATATTTCTTGTACTATGCAGGGAAAAAACAAACCTGTTTTTTAGCAGTGGTGGTTTTGAATTTTTTTTGTTCTCATGCCTGTCAAAATTTTCCAATCATCAAACAAAGCTTTGAACACTTAATTAAAAGAAAAGCAAAGAAAAGAAATTGCACCCAACATGTGTCCACAGCAAGAAGTAAATGTGAGCACCAAATTCTTCAGAAACACCAAATACCTGAGCTTTAATTTACCATTTTAGCCTCATACAAAAAGCTAGCATAAGTAAAAAGTAATTCAGATGTGATAAAGGTTCTATCATCCATTCACTAAATCAATCAAGAAAGTAAGAGCAAAGCTAACTCATCAAAGTGACTAGATAAACACAGAGACATTTCAGAGGCCAACTGCATTAAAAAAACAGCCAGAATGGTGTATCAAGCAATTCAAACAGGGACATGAAAGGCTCCTGTCAACTTAAAATATGGCTGCAGAAGCCCAAAACTATAAAGAAACCATGTCTTGTAAAGAATTCAAAGGAGATACAAGATCCCAAACACTTCAAAAATTGTTGGTCCCATTAGCAAAAGATGGCTGAAGCAAGAAAAAAGTAAAACAAAATCCCAAGCAAAATAAATTGCTAAAAAATACATTGACATACAAAGTCCACATAAGTAGCTTGGTCAAAGTATGCAGGATGACCATGCAGCGATAAATTCACCATCGGCAGTAAACTTATTCAGTCGAAGTTGTTACTGCTAAAACTCTTTAATCATAAGTTCCTCCTTGAGTCAAGGACAAACAGGGCCACCCAACCCAGCTCCTCTCCTCTCAAAAGAATAAGAACTCGCTACCTCAAGTTCAGACTTGTTACCTCAAATTTTCTGCTTCATGCACTTCTCATATTTGTGGGTTCCAAACATCTTCCTTGAACCAGACTGAGTAGAAACATATATAGCGTCCAACTCTTTACTGAAACTGACATGAAAAAAACATGATCCACCACATGGATCTACGTAAAATTAACAATATAAGAATAACATTACCATCACTGTTTCTCCTTGCTGCCGATCCTCAAACCAAAGTAACCAAACCTGATTAGTGCTTGCTTGCAAAAAAGAGACATTTTAGAAAGAGAAGACACTTTCATGAAATCTAAATAACAGATCCTATTTGTTGACCGTAATCACATCCTACCACAGAGAAATCTTCATATTTCTCACGGGGAAAGGGTACGAGACCAAGGGAGAACTCCCACACTCAGTAACATCAAATTATCCTCCTTGCAACACAAGAAGGGGGTATCAAAAGGCAAATGGAAAGACAGTTATTACTCCTAGAGATGTGTTCACAATAGATATAAGAGGGACTTGTCATTAGAGGTTAAAAATATTTACGAGCTTTAGCAAGCAGCTAAGTGCAAAGGAAAAACGATCATGTACCTCAAATCCCTTATATACCATTAATTGAATATGTACATTGAACAAGAAATACAAGCATACCTTGCAGCATTTCCAACTTCCAAGGAAGATAAACATCAAAGTTAGGACTCTGTATTACTGGTTTGCCGAAGAGGAATATATATGGGTACCAATTAGGCCATGCAAGTGCAGCATTTTAGGGCACTCGAATTCATAGCAAACCATAAGAAAAGGCATTGGCATCAACTGTGTTCTTCAAAAGAATTAAGAAACCTACATGAAACTACATAGAGAGATGTGTGATAAACTATGAGAATTAGTCACTGAGATCAAACATATAAAGGAATTCAAGAAGATTAAAACATCGGGGCAAGTACACCACACGACGTAACTTCTATTATAATTCACATTTTTTTTTTTATTACTTTTTTTGACTCAATGGGCAGTCTGCCCATTCTCAACTCCGAGCCCATACAACACGCCAGCATATTTCTCAGTAGAACCATTAAAGAAAGACTCCTTCAACTTCCTGAAAGCGCAGGAGGTGAGCAAGCTGTCTGAACCGGCCTGGTGGCAGATCCCCACCCTCTCGACATCGAGCAGCTCGGCGAGCTTGTTGAGCCCCCCATGGAGGCTGTTGCAGAATTTCATGATGTGCTTGATGTCGTACACGGTAGGGAAGTAGATGTTGATGAGATTGAAGAAGCCGGCCTGGGTGTCCGGGAGGTTCTGGCAAGTGAGAAGCTTAAGAAGGTACCCGAAATCGTAGCCGCTGTGGAAGGTAACCCAGTGCACCGAGTCATTGAGCACGATGCCCGACGACATAAGGAGCTCGCCAAAGCGCTGGGAATCAATCCCCTTCTCATTGTTCTTCTGGAAATCGATGCCGCTCTGGCGGAGAAGGTCGATGGAGTCGGACGCGAAGACGTCCTGCTGGATGTCGAACTCGCGGAAATTGAACTGCCATACGCAGCCACGGTCGGTGCCGCAGGTGGGGAGGTTGCCGAGCTGGTCGGAGAAGGTGAGACCGAGCTGGATGAGTTTGAGCATGTCGACATTGGCCTTGAGGGTGGCGTAGTTGAACTCGGAGCTGGTCCGGAAGTTGCCGAGGGGACGGCACACGATGCCGGGGAATTCGGTGTCCATGGCCACGTAAGGGAAGTCGTCCACGATCTCGCGGATCAGGGCGAACTCGGCCGCGAGGTTGTCGCTCCACACCTCGCGTATCTGGACCGTCTCGTTCTTGGGCAGGATCGACGACATCGCACCAACATCAAGCGAAACCAAGAACCGTAGAAGATCGATCTATGTACGTAAGGTCTCGAGAACGAAAGAGGACAGATCTGTGGTGATGTGGTTGGGAAACGTAAAGGGTTTGAGGGATCAAAGTAGATGAAGAAGAAGGGATTGGGAGGAGGGGTGGATTTCTTTTCTTCGTTATTGAGATCGAGGGAGGGAGGGAAGGAAGGAGGAATGCGGTGATGGCGTTCAAGGACGCGGCATGAGCCGGTCCGCGAAGACTTCGACCATGGAAGAGGAGGAGGAGACGTAGATGGGGAAGAGGAGGAAGACGATGAGGCCGAAATAAGGCAGCGCCACTAGTTGCTGGTACGCTGCTGGCACCGGTTAGGGCTCGGGAATGGACGCGGCGTGGCGGTCTCTGGTTGGTCCATGGAAAAGCGAATACTTATTTTTTACTCGTTGGGACCTCAATGGGCCGCAGACACGTATTAGGCCGAGACAATCTCTGTGGGCCATGCAGTGGGCCCGTAATATAGTACTCATTTTTATCCCAATTTTCTCTTTTATCATTTACTGATAAAAATAACATAAAGCATTAATAAACTATCATAAATGAGAATAAACTGAAAATTATTATTCGAATTTAAATTTTAAGATATTCAAATCTCGTTCCACTTAAAATTTTATGTAAAAATATTATGTGAGCTTTTTGAGCTCTAATAATACTCTGGTCTGATAATTTAGTAAGCTCTTAAGTATAAATTAATATTCAAATATTCAACGAGTCCTAAAATACTAATTATGTGCAAAAAAAGAAAATCAATATATTTTTGTTAGATTATTATGAATTAATTTAATAACATATTAATATGGATAAATATGTGATATAAATTAATTTTGAATGTCCTAGATAAAAGGGATTTAGAGTAGACATCCATTTTTAAGTATTTCTCATGTTTAGATATTAGTAGGTTAGAGGGATTCCATTTTGAAGTATTTCTCAGGCTTACATATTAGTAGATTAGAGGGGTTCGTCTTAAGATCTTACAAAAATAATGTGATCCTGAAAGATACGATAAAGTATTTTTAATGTTTAAGGTAATATGAGTTTAAAAGATATGATCATTATATTTAGTCAGAAAATCTTTATTATTATGATGGGACCGTATAAATGATTGTTGAGTTTAGTTTATCGTAAATGTCAAAGTAATAATTTATCAAATAAGCTTTCTCGTCGATATTACGTGCCTAATGTAAAATCAAATCAATATATGATAGAAAATTTAATATCAACTGATCCGTCTGGACGGAGATTCAAAGCAAAAAAATATAATCTTCCTTCTCATCCACTATCATAAAAAGATAATCACAAGTTTCCTTCTAATTGATAAGGTTGATATAGTACATTTTGACACTACTCACGTGGCAACAGACAAAAGACCTTTGGGCTAACGTAGAGCGATACCTCAGACCCGGACAAGACAGCCACACAACCTCCGTATTAGTTAGGGTCATTCCGTAAACTCGGGACGGCATTGATTTGAGCGGCGCCAGACACCCTAGAGCCATTCTGCAAAACTCGGGATAGCGCCACATAGTACCGACCCTAGTGGCGTCGCATGACCCCGACCCATATGAGTTGGTCGGCACTCATCTACAGAGTACAAGCCATCCTCCCGAGGAGTTGGTACCCATTAAAGGATCGCATATGACCGATCGCCCCGTCATAGGTATAAAAGTCAACCCTCTAACCAATGAGAGGGGGCGACTTCTTCAAACACTCAACTCTCTATTATTTCACTCTATTATAACTTAAGTTATGGAGGGGTCAGGTCGAGAAATCCCCCTCCCAACCTTGACTTGAGTGCAGGAGCCCCGCGACAAAGCAACAAGTGACGAAGCCCACAGCTCAACACGACCCGACGCCCACTTCTTGCACTCGAGCTTTCGCGTGGGTAACCTTGCGCATCTGGGATTGGACCAAGCTGTGCTGATATCTCAGCCATAGCATAAAGGTTCATTAACAAAGGCAATGACAAGCTTTATTCTAGGAAGACAATCACAAACTTCCTTCTCAACCTTTAAGGTATAAAAAGACATCTTAAACCTAATATAAGTGACTCCTTTTGAACTACTTGAATCTATAGCTAGGGATATCAATTTACTAATTTTAATGTCAGAGAAACTAGGTCGAGAAACTCCTTCCGACCTTAATCTTCGTATAAGTGACACATCGGGAATACGATGTTTCCACCTCAAAAGACACCTCGGATAATCCTGTGCATATTGGTTTGGACCACGTCGGGCTGAACAAGACATCAATAATATTTTTTCCTAATATTTTAGCACTAAAATGAGGACCTAATGTTATAGAAATGCCCTAGCAATGAGGCCTTGACTCCAACCCGTATGACTTTTACTCACTGGGGTAACTGTCATCCTTCTCACATGTAGATGCATCCACTTCGATGCAAGCGTAGATGAGGTACTAGCGTCTACTTAACGACTTTGACCTCTCACCACTAGGAATGAACTTGAGCCACATGCTCGTCCCCTCTGAGTTGTTCCTAAATCTCACCCATCAAGTGCAGACACTCACAGACATGTTGCAAGCTATCACCCTGCTCCTGCCTCAACTAGCCCAACAATCGACACCACCACCTCAGTCATGATTGACACTTCAATCACCATTAGCACCGGCACTTGTCAAAATCCCCTCGATCAACGTGATGCCAACATCTTAGGATCGCCCAAGGTCTAAGAAATTGCCAACCGAAGGAGCGCCCCACTCTCCAACGATATAGTTCAATGCATCGTCGCACTACCGCTCTAAGCTACCCCAATCCGAGTCCCAATTAGTGGATTCAATAGATGACTCCCTGAGGGTCCAATTATGACAAATGGACCAACGCTTAAATGAGATATGATGGGAGTTTCAGTAATTCAGGAGGAAGAATCTAAGGGGAGAATCTAGTCAACCTCATCTCAAGTTGATCATCATTCACCCAGAATATTTAAGAGAAGCTAATCCCGACCAACTTTTGCCTCACATCGTTGGAAGCCTTCGATGACAATATTGACCTGATTGAACACATTATCGCCATCTACACCCAAATAACTCTCTAAGGCACCTCAAATGCTCTGATATGCTATGCATGCCCAACAACGCTAAAGACACTCTCAATTGGCTCCTTTACTCAACTCGCAAAGAAGTTCAAACTTACTTTCTTGAGAATATATGCCCGAGGCCATCGATGATAATGTTGCTCAAACTCAAGCAAGGAGATGAAGAGACATTTTCCAACTTCGTTTCTCAATTTGCTAATGAGATCCGAGGCATGCAAAAGCTCATTCATCGCTTATGATACATGCCTTTATGATGTAGCTCAAGCTCTCATGCTTTTTTTGGTTGTTGGTGGAGAGGCCACTCGTGATGATGCTCGAGGTGTTCTAAAGGGCTAACCAATATATTGTCATAGAGGTAATATTCTTGAGTAAGTGCGAGAAAACACACAAAAAGTCAAGACAAGAGTGACTACCATTAATCTCAACCCCGAGGTCACCATAATGAAAAAATAAATGATTAACTCGGCAAAGAACATGAGGCGAAGAAGAAATGATTAACTTGAGCTACCTCAACTTGAGCTACCTCGCCCGAGATCTAAGTCAACTCCTTTGATCATGACTAGAACCAATATCTTTATACAAATAAAGAAAACGAGGTTTTGAAATACCCTCAGTCGATGAAGACATCGCTGAAGAAGAGGAACAAATCCAAGTATTGCCACATTCACCACAATTATGACAATGACACTAAGTATTCATCGAGGACACCTTAGGAGGTTCATTTGGAGTCATCGGGAACGTTCGCTTTAACCTCGGGAGTCATTGGAGAGGCGAAGAGGCACATCAACATCATCATCAGTGGACCTATCTCGGGATGAGATAACTCCTTGGGTCATAAAGTCCTTTTACAGATAAAGAAAATAGGCTTTTAAAGGACTCAATCGATGAAGACACCGTTGAAGGGGAGGAACAAATCCAAGTACTACCACCTCCATTGCGATTATAGCCATGACATGGAGGATTATCATGATTTAAAGGAGCAAATCAAAGAACTCATTAATCGATGATGTCTTGGGAGTTTCGTTTGGAGTCTTCAAGAACCTTCGCTTTGACCTTGAGAGCTAATGGAGAGGTAAAAAGGCATATCAATGTCATTGTTAGTGGACCTATCTCGGGATGAGATAGCCCCTCGGGTCGCAAAGGTGAAGGAGGGAGGACCAAACATCTGCCACGACGAGATGATCTGAAATCTGTCACAATGGAGGGAGGACCCAAAATCTATCACGATCGAGGGAGGACTTGAAGCCCGTCATAATGGGAGGACCCAAAATTCGCTACGATAAAAGGACCTGAAATTCGTCACAATAGAGAGAGAACTTGAAATCCATCATGGCAAAGGGAGGACCCAAAATCTGCCATGGCCAAGCGAGGATCCGAAATCCGTCATAGCGGAGGGAGGACTTAAAGCCCTTTGTGATTGGAGGACTTAAAGCATATCATGATAGGAGGACCTAAAATCTACCATGACGAAAAGAGGACCCAAAATCTTTCACAATGAAGGGAGAACTCAAAATTTATTATGGCGAAGAGAGGATTTGAAATCCTCCATACTGGAGGGAGAACTCAAAATCTACCATGTCGAAGAGATGATCTGAAATCCACCATGATGGAGGAATGACTTGAAATCTACCATGACGAAGGGAGGACATGAAGTCCTTTATGGCGAGAAGACCTAAAATCCACTACGACGAAAGGAGAACCCAAAATCTATCATGGCAAAGAAAGAACTTGAAATCTGTCACGATGAAGAGAAGACCCAAAATCCACCACGATGAAGAGAGGACCCAAAAGTCGCCATGATGAAGGAAGAACTCGAAATCCACCATGGCAATGGGAGTACTTGAAGTCCTTTATAACGAGAGGATCAGAAATCTACTACGACAAAAGGAGGACAGAAAAATCTATCATGGTAGAGAGATGACCATAAATCCATCACGACGGAGGGAGGACCCAAAATCTACCATGACGAATAGAGGTCCTAAAATTTGCCACAATGGAGGGAGAACTCAACATCCACGATGGTGAAGGGAGGACCCAAAATCTATCATGGCAAAGAGATGATTTGAAGCCTTCATGATAGAATGATCCAAAATTCATCACAGTGAAGGGAAAACGTGCTTGAGATGCATGGGTTAGGAAAACGTGACCCGCATGAAAAAATCTATCATGATGGATGCATAAGACCAATATGCTCGAGATGCACGA